CATAGGCAGGGAGTAATTTTTTAAGATTTTTTTATCATTATTATGTTTTTTTTCACATTCCCGAAAGCGTGGATGTTTGTTGCTATTTAAAACCGCCATCGAGACTAGAGGTGCCGCGTGTTCAACAAGGACGCGGTGAAACAATAGCTATGATGAGCTGAACAAAAGCCCAGCAAGTGCATTTATGAAAACGTGGTACATTTCCTACATTTTCTTTTGTGTAGTCTGATGAACTCGACAGGAAACAATTTACCTTTTTACTTAAAGATCGACACCTCCTTAACAGGCACGGTTATAAACGCATAGTAAACACACCGCATCGCTCGTGAAATTCTCAACATAATAACAAGCGTGTTTAGACTTAAAGTTAAATTTTCTAGCGAGGTTTCGCCATTATGGCTGCGTAAGATTCGTCGTAAGTCTATTAAGAAAAGCTTCTTGCGTCTTTTAGTTTTCTAGAAGATAACAGTTTGGAATCGCATTGCACGAACGGACTACTGATGGCAGTGTGAATCCATGTTTGAAAGATTAATTTTTCTAAATTACACTTCTTTGTCTCGGAAATGTTCCTCAGTACTAAACGCGTTACGTAGCAGTCTGTTTGGTAAGGAAGCGTCAAATTTCACGCCCATGCCGAAGCTCGAATAATTTATTCCTTCACGCTTGAAATTTACCTCAACCTTCAAAGTTTTCCTTTATACTTTCTTTCTACTGATGCATCGTGAAGCTGTCGCAGCGGGAACCGCAGTAATTAATCACCAATAAAACTGCAGAATTTGTTCTTCTTCACAACATGATTGGTTCAGAAAACTAGCTGCATCCTCTTAACCAATCAGATTTAAAACCGAAATAAATCACGACCTGGTCACCGCGTTTTCCCGCGCTTTACATACATACATACATACTTTATTTAAGGAAGTTTAAGAGGTTAACCCTATGTAAATAAACTTCCAAAGAAATAAAATTTAAAAATGTATGCTTATAATAAAATCTAAGATGGATAAAAACCTAAGAAATACGCATGTATAATTTAAGAGCTGTTTTGAAACGTCTTAAGTTACCTATCTCAACGACACTCGCGGGTAGATCATTCCATTCACGAATGTTTGTAATTGTGGTTGGACCTGGTACGTTTTAAAGCAAATTTAAAAAAATCACAAAAATGAAGGCCTCTCAGCCCGAATACAAGTTTATAACATTCTACGAAGGAAAAATACAGCCTTCTATCAATCAACTTCGACCAATTTAACATCTCAAAACGATCTTCATATGACATCTCACCCCTTCGCTGACCTAAAGCCAATCGAGAGGCTCTTCTCTGAACTTTCTCCAAGAGAACAATATTTTCAACTATACTAAGGGCACCATACTGGGGAAGCGTAAACTGTTTGCTTGTTTTAATTTGAGTCCTGATTGACTCCTATTCATGTTTCCCTTTATTGTGATTGGCTCCTTTTTCTTGTTTTGGTTTTACGAAACTCAGTTGAATATTGCTCTGCCTCATCAACCAAGTGATGAAAAAGCATCTCGAAAAAATTGGGGAAGGAGGGTCGCTGTTCAATGGCTACAACAGACTTCATACAAAACATGATAAGAAAAACCTCACGGAATGAATTTAACAAAGCGATGATTAGCCTTTCAAAAGAGCTATGTCACGGTACGGTACACCGTGAACGATTTTTTGGCCCGATCTGCAAGTTCCAGTCCGCGTTTATTCTCTCTTTCCTTGTTCACCTCGTTCAATTTTTGGATGAATTTCAACTCTCCTTGTGTTTGTCTATATTAACAATCGATTCTATGCACATTCCTTTCTACAAATCCTTCGTGTAAGGGTCGTGCCACCCGTTGATTATATATACCGTCGCTTTTCCAAACAAAATTAATGTCTTTCCATCAAAAGGTAAGGAGGTTCTTTGCAATTCTTGTTGATTAATGGCGGTCTCGCGCACGTGCAGCATCTAAAGACTTCAGCGGCTACGTAAGGGAAAAGGAAGCGCGACAGATATGTTGTTTTAAGGGTATTTTAACAATAAGGCTGTCGCCGGAACATTCAAACTCTTTGATGCTGCATTCCCCTCTCATAAAAATTCAAAAACTGTTGATAACCCCTCGATTAGAAGTCGTTAATTGCTCATCATGAAAAAAAATCCAGCCTAAGTCTGTAATAATATCTTACACTTTCACCGTGCCATTCTTTTTTTGTTGTTTTGTTGTCTTTTTGTCTCTTGTTATCTCTTTTCTAAGTGTCTTCATTATATCCCACTATTTATTCAAGATTTCAGTCTATTCGAAGGTAATTTTCTAAGGCGCCAGCCTAAAAGCAAACGACAGGTAAGTACAAGGCATTCATTTCCACCAATAATTATGATGAAGCGTGATGAGTTTTCAACTGAAATTCATGAGCGTGACCGTTCAAATAAAATTCTGATTTTCATTAATTCTCCATTGAAACTCGACCATTTCGTGGTTGTCTCACTTAAACACAGCTATTTCTTCATGGAATCACATTAATCGCAATAAAAATGAATCTTCATGGCAGGCCGAGCAAAAATGTGTTTTAGATGATCCAGCCATTTTTGAGCTTAAGCATTTTGTTCATATTTTCTTCGATTAAGAGCGATAGCGACAGGTTGTTCGTGACTTTCCGTTGACAACTTCCGGTAACAGGAGTAATTTAAAGAGAAAAGAAAATAAACAACAATTACGAGTTGGTCCGGTGCCCAACACGGACAAATCATTAGGAACAATTTAAATCTTGGACTGGACTTTCCAATAACATTAGGCGAGGAAACTTTAACGGACAGCTTCGAGCTAATTATATCACAGCTGTTTTTCTTCTTGCTCCCATGTTACGAAAATAACACTGCGTCTTCTTCAAGAGCCACTAATAGCTTTTCTCACCTTCCGAGGACAAAGATGGAACATCGAAACCTGCGCCTTTCAGCTCTATCTGGACATCGTCTGTCATCCACGCATTTATCGATAAAGAAACGAAGGACTGTGGAAGGGCTGAGGAAGCCCAATAATTTTATCAGGATCTATAAGACCAAGCCTGAGGGCAATAGAATTTGCTCGTGGTCTGATAACAAAATGTGGGTATGCGCAACACATTTTTTCCGGTCAGACTTGGCAATGATACTGTACAAACAACACGTAAATGCAACAGAAGTCCAAGATGGAATGATTAATTAACTACTATTTCTTTCATGAACAATGTACTGTGTCTAACAGAATCATTTTTACAACACCATTTGGCGGGACAACAAGTGTTGTATGTGGAGCGGGTTTTTTCCATAGTTGAGAGATCTAAACTTGAATTCCTAACCAACACTATTCTGCGATTGCTGTAATTGCAGTCAACCTCCTATAATTATTTCTTTGCTTGACTGTGCGGCACAGGAGTTTCATGTTTCTGTAACTTTTTTTAGAGACTGTACAGTATTCTCCAGTTAATTACACCTTCCAGACTTCTGTCTTAAATCCGAGGGTGACAACACACGATCAGTTAATTGCTTTCTAGTCAGGGAGAGATAAGAAGCAATCTTGCAAAAGACACGCAAGCAATTGAATTCACTCGGGTGTGTTAGCATATGCGAATCAGATTAAAACGTTGTATAATACTCATGACCACCTCTGGCGTTAAACTCAAACGTCTTCCAAATCTAAGACACAAGAGCTGGGAAAGAACCTGCTCATCTCAACCGCACTGGTCAAGTTCAATGCGGCGTTTCTAAAAGCCTAATGCCGGTTCTTCTTTTGTGCGCTATTTCCTTTAATTTGCTCTCAAGAGAGATCATTTTCAAGTAAGGTTCACATTACCTTAAAATGCCAGAAAATATCAAGAAATTATTTAATCGACTATATTCACATGTCAAAGTTACTGTTCTCCTTTCAATTTCTTATTTCAAGTTACCGAGTAAACCCAGTCTTTTTTGTCGAAACCTTTGCCTGGACAGTTTCTCGTTTCAAAACGAAATATGTTTATTTCCTCTTGTTTACAGCACTAACATTGCTTATTTTCTTGTCATATTGAAGTGATCTTGTGCAATAATAATGTATTTTCGGATAGTGTCATATGACTCATTCTAAAGCGTTTCGTTTTCAAAATAAAAAAAGAACTTAAAACATTTTAACAGCGTTATAGTCGTGTTCCTCACTCCTTAAGTCCGTACGTGGACCCTTAAGATCCAAATATTTACAAGAATCTCGATTATCGTTAAGAACGCTTAACCTGTCTTCGCCGGTCAATTTGTTGGCGCTGGTACGACTCTTGTTTACTTATTGTCCGCACTAACTAAACCACAAGGTGTGCAGGCAAGAAGGATTTTGCTAACACTTGTTCTTCTGTTTTGAAAGTCCCTTGATCGAGAGTTATACGAAACTCTTTGGTTCTCTACACTGATATCAACTCATCAATTCTCCTTAGTTGCTATAGTGTATTTAATAAATTACTTTCTCCTTAGGAGTCATTCTCAGGCAAAATAATGTTGTTCCCCATTCGCAGTTTCCTGGGCTGTTCAATCCGATCATTATAATTTGTTGTTGCCGAGAGGAAATGGAAAAAACATTACTTCATAATTTCAACAAGGTTGAAAGGCGTTAAGCCAGTTGACATGAACGCATCTGCTGAGTAATCACCAAAGTATTTTCTACTTACAGAAATTAACCAACTCGTCTTGCTTCGATGTCATTTTTCAAGAGTCTTATTGACTTCCCGATATTTTTCGTCTCATGAACTCCGCCAACTTTTAACTGACCCTACTTTGCGAACTAAACCCTCTTGAGTTAATTTCCTTTCCCTGATCGTTTGAATTAAAACCCATTCTGGGGCAAGAAATGAGCTTTAAAAAGGGCAACGGAAACAGAATGACTGTGAACTTTAGCAGTTAATGTTCTCTAACATTCAACGAACGGTCTAAATCACTATAATGAGAGTGAAAGTGTAGTTGTATCAACTATAGCGCGACGACGTGCTTCTCGTGTTCACTGGTGCAGCTTACCTTGTTCTCTGGTGTGGGAGTCTTTGACACGTCTTCCCTCTGTGCTAACAGAATACACAACGCATCTTCCGCTTCAAAAGTCCCACAAGAGCACAGTAATCTGACAATGATGCGAGCGGAATTTAATCGGCATCACTTACTTATCAACGTACGATGACAACGGAGTGACCTCGTCAGAAATTTGAAACAATCAAGACATTAAAAGTGTACTTATCAAAAAATAAACGAGCCAGATGCCTGATGATAAAGTCAGTATGTCAATGTTAACAATAAAGAGCTAGAAAAAACAACAAGTATAGAAAGTGGCAATCACACAAGAATCACCTGCGTGACCGACCCCCCAGCGGAGCCACTTCGAAGTAGATCGAAAATTTTGAATAGCTGAAATAACCAAATGGCATGGGGTTGTTTTGTTGTAAACAACGTGTTTTGATCCGACGAATGTGCAACCCTTGCCTTTTTAAGAACATAGAGAGGTGATGAGGCGTCCTGGCGTTTCCGTCTATTAATCCTCTATGTGTACATAGCCTGACTAAGTTTTTAATCCTATACGACGTTTTAAAAGTTCTTTGAAGAACGGCAGATGACTCCGGAAATGTTTAAGGGCTAGTCGTGTGCATTTCTGCCAAACACTAGGGGCAGAAGTCCAAAATCTCTCGTTTGAAATTGCTTAAAAAGTTAATGGCCATACTGAATTTCAGTTACTCAGTAGAGATTGATCAGATAGCTCCAAAGAGCTCAGATGGTGTTCTCGTACAAATTTTTGCTGCAAAATTATCGTGATCACAGTGCCTCCGGCTGCATTGGCCCAACGCAAGTTTGGGAAGACAAAGACAAAGTATAAAGCTGTATAAACTCGCTTTGAAGACTTGCGTCGTAAAAGTTGAATCGTAATAAATTTTCAGCTGCGATTGAACATAAGCTATCACAGTAATGTTATATGTTTCGCAATGTTATATGTTTTCAGTACACAATCAGGCTAAAGCAGTTTATACGAGAACTTCTGACGGCGCCAAATGGCCAAGTTCACGAAAAGGAGTAAAATACTTTCTCCTCCTACTTTAATTTTGATCGTACCTTCTTAATCAGACTTTCGGGTTCCTCCCGAAAAGTGTTTTGCCAATTAGGGACCCATGTTTGATTAACCAATTCAAAAAGATTATTTGAGACGTAAACATGACCTTTGATCGTCGCAAAAATTAAAAAGGTTTTAAATTAAAAAAACAAAGGCTTTGTGGATAGCGGCTGGCTTTACAGACGACAGACAACTTATCTTCTGTTCTTTCTGTGAACTCTCTTAATATATTGATTACTCTGCATTAAACTTTAAAATTAAACAGTAGCACGGCAGATTTACTCACTCGATTTATGAAAACCGACAAATTTTAAAACACAGATCGCGCAACGATGGAAAGACAGGTGGGACTCCAAGGTGGATCGCGCGTGGATCACGCGATTTCAACCTGTGCTATCTCGTGTGACTCATGGGTTTTCTCACTTTGGAAAACATGACATATTTTGTTCTTGTTCAAGATACTTTGACTATGATTTATAACTTGATCTTGGATTTCACTGGGGATACATAAAGATTATGCATTATTTTCCTTGCATGTTGAAGAAAAAAATTGGGAAAATGTTTCAATGTTTGTGTCCACCTTTATGATAACTCCACAGTCAAGTCAAGTAAACGGAAAGCACCGAATTTCCTTCAAAGCTCGATCAAAATAAACCACTGCAGGTTTTAAAAGGAAGGATCCAGAAGTCGTGCAGAATGTTTTGATGACTAAACCTATCGATTACATTACTGACAAGGTGATCGAGCGCCCTCGCTGAAAAAAAGGTCCTTGCGCGTGTTATGATGACGGTCAACAAGGCGGAACAGAGTGCGCTAGTAGACTGGTACCTATTTGTTCCCGGCGGAAAAAGAAAAAGAAATTGAGAACCTGAAAAATAAGACTGTACCCGCCCTTCACATTGTTCACGTGATCATGCAGCGACCCGCGCGGTCACATGCGAATTAGTTGAAGAAGTCCTATGAATCACGAGCGGACCATATTTAGAACACTTAGCCGTATTCTGCTCTATTTTTTAATAGATTTTAGGAGCTAATTCACTGTATTTTTTGAGCGATATAGAGATGATTTTCTTTAAAGAATAGAAAACTCATAATAGTCGTTTTTCTGAGACAGGAGAACACCTTGAAAACAACAATGAAGCAAAAGCAAAACAAGAAAGGTTGAAGACGGAAGAGATTGACAAGTATTCCAAGAAAAAGAACTTAGAAAATTTTCCATATAGCAACGTTAACTTTTTTTGTCTCTAATATTTTACCAGGGATGTGACGCTGTAAAGTTGAGAAAATTTCAGCCTCTGGTCTGTTGTTTTCAATCTTACATTCGAAATAGTTTTTTATATTGTTATCATTTCCTTCATTTTTTTTTGAAAGTGAAAATATGTCAGAAACTATCCCTTGGCGAAGGAGAGAATGGTTGCGGAGTTGAACCCTTTTTTAAAACTCACAAAGTGACAAAGTCAAAATTTTTCCTTGAAATATCAATACAAAATCAAGCAGACAAGTGAATAGAAAAAAAATATCAATTAGGGAATTACTAGTTGATACGTTACTAAGTTCTCCAAACTAACATCATCTGTTGTGTGGTAGGCAGTACAGAGAATTACTAATAAGATAGTGAAAGAAAGGCTTAAATAGCTTTACTGGGACTATACACTTCATTTACTTACTCTTTTGCGGTAGTGATGAAGACTCGCAAAATTGTCTTTAAAAGCAGAGTTATGAGGGTATGCTATTCCAATCAGAATCACGGTGTTTTACGATAAGACAGGACGAATAGGATTTCGCCAACTTATCATGTCTGCCATTTTATATGACTTTAGTCGGGCGGGCAATCATTTTTCAAAGTTAGAAGCGCTTTTAATGAGTCGAAGATTACAGCGGGTTAGCTTATTATAGTACACAAAAATATTTACCGGTATGTTTCGGATACCTTACGTTCTAAGTCATGCGCACTGTTTCTACAAAAAACGGTTTGACTTTTTTTTACCTCTAATATTCTTGACGCCTGCGCCGTTAAACTTGAAATGCTAAGGCCAATGTCCATGCAGTGAGAGAAAATTGCTAATCATGAAATGTTCTGTTTCGTACTCAGAGTATGTAGAGAGAGGAATGCAAACATCAAGCTTACGTATTTTTAGGATGATTCGCCTCCATCTCCAGCGAAAACTTCCTCCATATCCCTTACTACGTTCCCGTTGACAACGTCGAAAAGGCAACCGTGACAGAAAATCTCAAAGCTGTTTGGCCTGTTGTTGCGGAATAATGCATGGAAAGCAAGAGATTATAATCTCTTAAGAGTAAGGGAACGACAACCTTTGAGACTGAAACCCTCATAAAGGTCTTAACACTAATGCAATTCCTCTATTGTTATTTCAAGATTACTCCCCTTCTCTTCCTGTGTGGCTAATTTTGTACTCGTCTAGATCACATGCAGTGGAATTCGCGAGGTATATCATATACCTTACGTTACTGCCGCTTACCGCCTCGCTTGTCTCCTGTAAAACCCAGAGTCTATTGACAATTTAAGAAGGGCCATAAGCAGCCTAGTTGTCTCGGTTTTCTAGTCTTTTGCGACGCAAATGATATAAGTGGTGGTCTGAAGCACCACGCATCCGTCCCTAGTCAGGAGCTCTGAGCATTCATTTCTCTCGCTCTTGCTAATCAACACAACATGTAGTTTATCGTCGTGGAAGATAATAGGACCAGTAGACAATGTTGAACAGTCCGTAAAGAAGCGGAAATATTTTGCGCGCGTATTGGTCAATGTAATGAGGAGGTAACTGTTTCGTAGGTAGACCATCCAAAAAGGCATTGCTCGCGCAAGGAGTCTTTCTTCTCGATGCAGAAAGATTTTCGTGAAGGAAAACCCCTTTTCTCAGAGACAATCCTCCTGCCACTCCGTTCACAGGACGTTCTTTGTTATAGTTGAATGATTGCTGGTCCATCATCTCGGCAATGGAATTTGTTGGATTTGGTGTCGGAGGCTAAAGAGAAATTATTAATTGAACATTAGAGTGGAGCGAGTTTCGTGGAACCAAAATCAAAGCCAATCACGACGGCCAACCACAGCACGGAAATTATCACCAGGAGTCAAAGAGAAGACGAAGTAAAAACAAGTAACCACCTGAAGCGGGGGAAAACGCGTGTGAGCCCGTCGCGATTGGTTTTAGTTTCGAATCTGATTGGTTGAGAAAGTGTCGCGAGTTTTCTAGACCAATCACATTACGACATAAACTTAAGCCAAAGCAATCTTGGATTACCTTCGACACTGTTGAAAAATTGCTCTGCGTTATGATCAGTTTCGTTAATCAAAACAAACTCTACGACCAATAGGCATAGCAACGATCAATAACACCGAAGCAATCTGGGAGTACTTTCGACTCCATTGAAAACTTCTCTGAGTTATGATCAGTTTCGTTAGTCAAAACAAACTTTACGACCAACATAAATAAAGGGGAAAACTGTGGTGCTGCGTCGTAATTAACGACCTAAAGGCATGGCAACAATCAATAACAGCAATACATCACTTCATTGTTCTAAAGCTATGCATTACTTACAATTACACAGACAGAAAGGTATGTAATTAGCTTCTGGACGGAGATTTGAAGAAAACGTAAGGTGATGGGTAAAGCTATGTCTCCGCGTGAACGAATTCAACGACTGTTCTGTCTACACTAGCCTGATAATCGTGAAGGAACGCTCACTTAGCAATAATTTATCAGACATTACATGCAAGGAATTCCGACTTCTATCATTTGAACACCTGAATTCCAGACATTAATCTGATAATATTAATTTTTAAAAGTCAGACACGATAGGATTTGCCTCTAAGTTAAGTTCATTACGGACAGAAATTAGAACGTAAGCTGACATTTCAAACAAACATTGATCAATTGATGACACTCACCGGCGCCAGACTTTGACTCCTTGCCAAGACAGATGCTGCTCTATCCGTGAAGTTTAAGACACACACGTACTCGACCATGCAGGATACGATAAAAGTAAGCGAAGATATCAAATAGTAATCTACAGCTTTCAGGTAGGAGATCCGTGGGAGACTGTTGTTAACTGATCCGAATAAGAACATGGTGCTGAGTATGCACGTGATCACAAGTGAAACTCGCGCGGGAACCGCGTGTCTGTCTATCCAGAAACTAAGCCACGAGAGGAAAACGA